AAAAAAAAAAAAAAAAAAAAAAAAAAAAAAAAAAAAAAAAAAAAAAAAAAGTTGCTGTGTACTTATTTATTTAACTTTCCTTGTCGAAAAAGCAATGAGAGCCAAAGCACGTAAAACACACTCACCTGGACGAGCGGCCTCGTAGACAAGATCCTCCGCCCTGGCGATGATCCTCCTGCCGTAGGATTCGTGGTGCTTGTCGGCGAGCTGTCCGTTGGCCCTGTCGACGTAGACGAGGAGCTCGGGCCTCGCCGAGGGGGCGTACGCGGGCACGCGTTTCCTCTTCTTGAGCCTCGCCAGGTAAGCCACGAGCCCGAGTACCGCGGCCGTGGCCAACAGACAGCCCAACACCAGGAGGCACAGGTACAACGCGCTCAGCCGGCACTTGAGCGACGCCTCCGGCAAACCGATCAGCGGCTTACCGGCGAACTCCTCGTCCGCGCACACGATGTCCCCGCTGTCGATCTCGAGGTGGGAGCTGCTGCTCTCGTTTTTTCGCTCCTCCGCCGTTTGCAGGACGTTCCACAGCCAGTGAGCCGAGCAGTTGCACACCAGGGGGTTGCCGCCCACGCGCAACGCTGATAAACCGTCGACCGGGAACTGCGTCGGCTGGAGCGAGGAGAGCCGGCACCGGCGCAGCGACACCCACCTGCGACGGACGACAGAAGAAGGAGCAAAACATTATTAACACGGCATTCCAGGGGGGATACTCTGCCTCTACCTGCCCCTACATATATGTCTGGGTTTTTTTTTTTTTTTTTACTTTTTTTTTTCGACTCGAGGTCTAGGACAAGTATTTGTTCGCGTGCGTGCAGCGCGATGAACGACGTCGCGTGCGCTCCTTCCACGTATGTACACGGTGGAATGATCACGTCGCGGTGGCTTCGTTTTATATGTACCTATATATACGCCTTGTGTCGTGTCGGCGAGACGCTTCTTCTTTTGCATTCTTCGGGTTCTGCTGTCTCGTTGATGCTTCTATAATTAAGTGAGATGTTGCTCGAGTTTTTACGCGGGTGCACGTTCGATTTATTTCTTCGTGCATTTTTCGTGTCGCGCCAACAAGGGAGAAAGGTGTATTTAATTTTTTTTTTTTTTTTTTTTCCTATTTAAGCATGCAGTTCTTTAATGTGATTTCCAGCGTTTTGAGAGCAGAATAGAGGTGCGCGTTTGAGTGTGAATAAACACCAAGTCAGTAATTTCATCAAAAAATGTCAATAATTTTTTGCTCTGGGGTTATTTCGAACTCTTGTCGCACTCGTGAGTGACCGGCCCACTTTTAACAGGAAGTCGTTTTAGAAAACAAATTTTATTTTCCATCGCTTTTCAATGTATTTAGGTACGCTATGGTTATTTGTACTTTAGATTAATTTTCTTTTTCCTTTTTTTCCAACGTCTATAGGGCAAGTTATTTTTATTCCAGCAAATTCGTTATTACGCATTCATGGCCCTTTCTTTGAAATTCATTACGTGGAAAGTATTACACCTATGGACGTTTTAAATATTCACAAGTTGCGTGAAAATTGCCGGTGAAAAATATATCACTTCATCAATTTGAATAAAAGAAAATTTAGTCATTGCACGGAACATAATTATAGCATATACCATCCAAGTTCCTGTTCTATACTTTAGTTGTAAAAGTTTACTCGCGTTTAAATAATTAAAAGTACTTTTGTTGGTATTAAATCATATCCCCCATAGTTATACGTGTGTGTCCAAACAAAGGGATATTATTGGAACGCAGTACCTCATAAAAATGCAAAAGCAAAAAAAAAAAAAAAAAAAAAAAAAAAAAAAAAAAAAAAAAAAAAAANAAAAAAAAAAAAAAAAAAAAAAAAAAAAAAAAAAAAAAAAAAAAAAAAAAAAAAACACATCAGCCGGACAAACACACGCGTCGCATTCCAGGTTGAAATTCAATTGCGTCGACCCGCACCGTCCCATTATCCGAACGAGTATCGAAAATACCCCATATTCGTCGCGAAGCGCAAACGAACGCAACTCCCGAAAAAAGGTCCATCCAGAAAAAAAAAAAAAACCACCCCACGTACCTATATATATATTATACCCTCGACGTGCACTACCTGTCATTATTCCATTATTCGAGCGCGACGGCAATCAATTCCAGAGCCTCGGCCGATCCCGATATAATCGCCGTACAATTAAAAGGACGTTCCCTCCGGAGCCAGATACAGCGAGATAGAGCCTCACATCCCTCCAGTCCACCCCACACGTGCACATGCGTGTCAACGCGGCGCGTGAGCATGCGTTTGTCATTTGCATTAATATGTACACGCACGCGCGCGCGTGTGTGTGTGTGTCCGTAAAGCAAAGTGTTGTCGTCGGTGGGATGTAACCGACATTATTGGATTACTATGGTCTACTAGCCCTGCGTGTCCTCCCCAGACTCGCCCGATACACTTGTAACCAAACGCTACACGTGTGTGTGAGTGTGTGTGGTGTACAAAGAGGATGAGAGAAGCAAACAGAGACGGTGCAGGAGAGGGACAGGTAAATTAATGCGGGGACAGCGAGCGCCCGGCAAAAGAGAGGGATGAAACACGACCACCGTATGTATACGCACTCGTCGTCGAGTGAAAGCGCCGAAAAGATTTGAATAAATTTCTACGTTGATTTTGCCACTTCTCCCCCTCCTCTCTCTCTCTCAACTCCCTTTTGAAATTTATATTGGAGAGCTGGCTTGTTACAGAAGAGCACATCACGACTACTCATTTCTCATCTATGTCGGTGTGTACACGATTAAAGGGCTTTATGCAAAGATCGCGCATGTATGTATATGTTTGCGCAGATTGTTTAATAATTAATGCGAGGATAAGTTGGAAAAATAAAGGACTCCGCCAGAGCCGTACATTGGGGCTGAACTCATGGAGTTGTATACACAGAGGGACCAACAAAAGGCTTGGGTATTAGAGCTTCGGAGTGCATTGTTATCTTTGCGAATTAAAATCGGCAATGTTCGGTATATGGATAGGAATTAAGATCTACGCCATACGTAGGGATCGAATGGATTGAAAGAGCTTTTTGTTCAAGAACAAAGTAACGATACGAGCTTTCACGGTCATCCAGCGTTTGCTCTGAAAAAGAGCCCCGAAATCACGAGAAAGGGTGGCAAGGTCGCCCGATGACAGAATGAAGGAGCGCTTGGCAAATTTAGCGAAAAAAAAAAAAAAAAAAGCGAGCAGACGGAGAAAGGCGTGCGTGTATTATACGCGTGTATAAATAAAGTGCGGGGGGGAGGGAGCGCGTTCCCCCATACAAGACAAAGCGAGAGCACCTGCAAGTGTGTGTATACACGGCGCAATGAAAAGCTACCCCCGGGCCTTGCGCATACGCACATGGCAGACAGACGGCACGGGGGTGTGTGTGTGTGCATAGGTGTGCACGGAGGGTGTAGAGGCAAAGAGGGAAGCGCAAAAAATACGGGTGTGTATGTACATGCAGGCACGCGCCGTAATTTATCGTTCTCTGATTGAGGGAAAGCTTGCGCAAGCTCGGCTGCGATGCGTTTACCTTCACGCAAGACTGAACGACGCGCAGGGGCAAGAGAAGCGGAACTGACGAGCTTTTGTGCGTCTCTCTCTGTGTGTGTCTTTTTTTTTTATTTCTCCTCCTGTACCGTATACACCAGTGGCGTGGGCGTGGGTGTACGTATTTTCGTTTCACGCTGGCAAAGATGAAATCGCTTTTCTTTATTCTCGTCGTCGTCGTCGTTACTCCTTTTTAATACGTTTTTTAGGGCCAAGGGGTGGGAGTCGATTCGAGAGCGTATTGTCATCCCAGAGTCGTAAAGTTTTTATAGAAACGAGGGCTCGAGATGAGGCTACTGTTTTTTTCATGTTCCGATCGTGCGCCAAATTTCTTTGTATTCTCCAAACTTTTCAACTTTTACTGATCATATCCTACACACTTTGGCTAAACACCGAACAATACGCGAGACGTGGAAAAATTCAATTGTAAGAGCTTTACTTGCTAGATCGGTTTCCACCTTTGTCTTACCGGACATAACCGGGTGATCGGTACTGCAATTTCAGAGCTGGATCGTAAAAAACGGATATACTCCCTTGGAACGAAACCAGCGCTAAAAATCAATTTAATTGTCAGATCCTCCTCCATATTTCTCAAGAAGAAGAAGAAGAAGTCCAAGTCGTTCACAAAAGAGATGAATTATATGTAAAAGGGGGTGGGTCTAATATAAGCGCGGGGGGAGGGGGCTAGGTCAAACATCAATTTCAATGCCGGAATAACGAGTTTGAAAACCGATGGTTGGCTTTAATCTCGAATCGTTAATAACCGAGACTTGGGCTCTCCGCGAAATCGTTTCCAATAATGGTGGAACGAAGAGAAATATAAAGGCGGGACGGGGGTGACGCGGCCCCGAAGATGAAATCGGGGCTCCCTCGCCCTGCCTCCCTCTTTGCCGGCGCTGTAAATAACTCGGGGCATCAGTCCTTTTGTTCAGAGAGTTTGTGTGTAGCGGAGGGAGAGAACACCACCACGGGGCTGAAAGTGAAAAGTTCAATCCCCCGTCCCCTTTGGTGTTATTATACGCACCTCAGGTTCCCGGCCGCATAGAGTACCCGTGGTGGCAACTCGGCGAGCTCCCTGTTCCCGTCCATGGAGATCCTCTCGAGGTTGACGTTGTCGGCGAACGCCCTGGCCTCGACCCGGCCGATCGAGCAGTCGTTGAGCTCGAGCTGCCTCAGATCGAAGAGGTTCCGGAAGGCCAGGCTCCTGAGCTCGCCCAGCGGGTTCCGGCTGAGCAGCAGGCTCGTCAGCATGATCATCTTCGAGAGGGCCTGGCTCGGCACGGAGGTCAGATTGTTGCCCGCGAGCCACAAGCTCCTCAGCCCGGGCACGCGGTCGAACGCGTCGTCGGATATACTCCGTAGGACGTTGTTGGAGAGGTCGAGGTGGACGAGGCCGGGCATGGAGGGCAGCGAGTCCTTGCCCAGTTCTTGGATCAAATTGTCCGAGAAGTCGAGGCGCTCGAGGCTCGGGGTGAGGGCGAGGTTCGCCGCCGGTGACTCGAGCAAACTGTTGCGGCTGAGCACGAGGCTCTTGATCCGGTGGAGGTTGCGCAGGAGACCCGCCGGGAGACTGGTTATCTGGTTGCCGCTGAGGTCGAGGTGCTCGAGTTCGCTGGTGTAGCGGAGGGCCTGCTCGTCCATGTCGGTGATGTTGTTGTTGGAGAGGTCGAGGTGCTTGAGGGCGGCCAGCCCGTGGAGGGCCGTCTTGGCGAGGGTGCGGATGGCGTTGCTCGAGAGGTTGAGCTTGACGAGGCGCTGCTGGACCCGAAAGTTGTTGGAGCCGAGGGTGTGGATGAGGTTGGAGCTGAGGTCGAGGGACTCGAGGTTCTCGTAGAACTCGAAGGCCATGTGGAGGCCGCTTATGCGGTTGCCCGACAGGTCGATGTGCCGGATCTCCGGGTTCAGTTGGATGGGCACGATGTCGAGGCTGCCGTAGGCGCAGCTGCTGCGCAGGGACTCGTCGTCGCAGCGGCACCTCACCGGGCACAGTCCAGCGCTGGCCGACTGGATTGCCGTCAGTAGTAAAAGCAGGACCAGCAACGCTTGCGTGCCCATGGTTTTTGCTATCGTCGTCGCGACGGAGTATTTTCCGGCTGTGTGGTGGTGCATTGGCGATGGCAATAGTGGTAGGGAAACGATGGTTGACGGCTGATGGCGCGAAACATGGAGCCTGTGGAGGGAGGCTGATGGCCCGTCGGAGGCGCGGCCTGCCATTCCATATGAGCTTGGCCGCAGCTGTCTGGTACTACCCTGCAATCAGAAAACGTGGACAAACATGATTAGGGATGAGTTTTTTTTTTTTTTTTCATCACTATTATTATTACAATTTGTGATAAATGTCACGATCATACGACTCCCTTCAATCAAATTTCATCCATCACGTCTGGTTTTTCTCCCATATAATCCCCAAGTAGTTTCAGTACGGTCATGTTATTACGGTTGCTGAGGATTTAGGATTGTTTGAGTTTACCAATTTTTTTAAGCAATGAAATGGTCCGAAAGTGATGGAGCAAGGGTCATTAGATTTATAATGGTAGCGGAAGTATAAGATAAAGCTTTGCTCACTTTATACCGAAGGTCATTGTATTTTTTCGACTTATATTCCTCTATTTAATCTATTTCGAGATCTATTTTATCAAGTACCTCGTAAAGATACGTGCTCTTAAGCGAGGATTCTATATCTGTTTGTTATTAATCATTACAGGCGTGCGATTAATTTTTTGAAATAATAGTAAAAAAAAGATCTAATTACTTTTCGATAAAGCTTTTACCTATTAACACTCATAGATAAGTATGTTTTAAAGGTCAAATGGAACGATTCTAAAATTCATCTCGAAATTAAAAACACGTTGTCGTATCTCCCACTTTTGAGAAATATAGAATTATCTACAACTGAATAGGTCAATCTTGCAATAATACTGGAAAGTACATCTAGTAGTTATTTTGTAAAAAAAAGCCCATCAAGCGTTTATACGATAAATATACATGTAGATGGTAATCGAACGCAAAACCAAAATTGTCAAACACACAGCGAGCATTGTAATCTCCCCCATAGACCACGATTAATGCATACGTTCGACAAGGCACTTACAATGCATGGAAATTTAAATGACTTACGCAAAATGGCACGTCCCATCGAGGATATATACTTCAAACTGCTCTTTCAAGCAGAGAGAGAAAGCTCACGAAGTGAAAATACCGACATATCGGAAATTTATTGCGCTCCGTCCGCATAAATCATCCAACCCGCTAGATTACCCGGAAATTTCCGAAGTTTAAGACGGCATTCGTCTTCTCGGGACTTCGATATAAGACAAATGACAAATTTGGCCCTTTCGGACATCATCATAATATCATATCGATAATGTATCTCTTTTTCCTCCCATTTTCGATTCACGTACAAGCCGTTACATCCGTTGCAGTCCTCAAACGGACGTCGCGGCAACCCTCGCAACGCAACCTGCATCCTCCAACTTTAAATCTTTTAGTCCCACACGAAATCCCTGAATAATATTTTACGACATCATCCACCGAACAGCTCGCCAACGCGACCAAACAAATAACCGTTGGGGGTCGAAAATTTACCCCCCCCCCCCTCTATCCTCCTCGTTGTTGGAGCAATAAGCGATGCTGAAAAAAAAAAGACTAAACCAACAGAGCGGAGCGGCAAACCTCGTAAGTCCTCGGTAATGAAACACTAGGAAATCTAATTAGGCGAGACGGCGCTGCTGGTGCCACGATCGCCATCAGAAGATAATTATATTCATAAAGGTAGGTGGGGGGGGGTGGCGTTCTGGAAAAGGCTGCACATGTAGCCAAAGTTTGCACGTATCCCGAGCTCGGGAACATAATAACAATAATAGGTACAGACGGAGGCAGGCGCGAGATAAAGCTACTCCGCGACCCTCCCCCCCCCCTGGCCACCGTTTTGGTAGAGCGAACAATGCCCGTTTTACCGGTCTCCATTACTGCGTGACGCAGCCCAACCCTCTCTCTCTCTCTGTATGCATGTGTGTATGTGTATAATGCGACTGGTAGCATTTGCCGTCCGGCACGGTGAGTTCCGAACGCTGCACGCGGGAGGCTCAACTTTCCTCTCGAGAAGCTGCCCAGCCGCATTTACGCAGCGCTTGCTGGATTTTCGTAAACTCGCCGAGATGTGTGTGTATATATATATTATATGTACCGACGTCAGCCCGCAGACGGTCCGTCCGGCCGTTCTTGCGTTTTGCACGTCCACCGTCGAGTTGGATGTATATACACGCGTACACGTACGTGCAAGTTATACGTGGATTTCGGAGCGGTGAAATCAGCATGGGACGAGGTCGCGTGCAGGGGGCCAAAGTTGGCCGTTGTACCTATACGCGGTCACGCCTCCACCGGGCGTCCCAGGCGGCATCTACCCCCTCGATCAGCTTTCTCCACCCTCCTCCTCCGGACCCTCTTCGACGTATACCTCGAGGCTGCGACGTGTAGGGTGGGCGGGGGTGGTGGTGTTGCCAATCTGCATGCGCTCCCGTCGCGAGAGTTCATATTTCCGCTATCAGAGCTCGGACAATGCGTCGCCGACCCTTTCGCTTGTCCGGGCGAAGGGGAGGGGGGGGAGGGTTGTGTGAATTTATATTAATTTCTCTTTTCATCTCGCGATGGGCGCTGATCGTCCCGATTTTGGGTGCCCGTGCCGTGGTACGTTCGGTACGTGGAAAAGGGGTTGGGGGTACGAGTGAATTTTTCAAGGGCAAGGCATCGGCTGATGTTTATTTTATGACGTCGATGTATTGAATCTATGTTGGACAATGACTTGTGTGGAATGAGACTTCCTTTTTCTTGGTTGGAGTTGGGAACGAGGACTTTGTTTTTACGTTGTCGCAAGAGTAAAAAAAACAAAGGGCCACTCAGGTTTTTCATGTAAAGTTTAAGGGGGTGCTAATAGAGAAGTTTAAAAATAGTAATGCTAATCGTCGCAGCTTGAGTGATTCTCGGACAATATTGAAATTTAATTGGCGTAGTTTTTGCACCCGTGCCTTTTTTTTTGTGACTTCAATCTGTTTAGCCTAAAAACCGCCCCTATCCGTTTTGTCCGTGCAAGACCCCTGTGACCGCCTCCCGATGGTCCACAAGGATCGATGCGCATCCCTGGGGAGAATTCCCAGAAAGGCCGTCTGTTCTCCCTGTCCCTGCGGGCTCACGAGGACCGAGGGTGCATCGGATTGGCTTTTTACCCTTTACACCCCATACGTCTCAAACCTACCCACAACTGTTCCGCATTTACCGAGGATTTACTCGTGTACAAATTATTATTATTATTTTTTTTATTTTTCTCTGTCGTGTACGGTTTGGTTAACGAGCCTCTTTAAATTTGGATAAAATAAGTGTCCAGTTGTATACGTACCCAAGATAATTGCACTGGATTAACACCTCAAATTACGTTTGCCAGTAAAGCCGTCGATTTCGTGGTTATTATAACGTGGTTATAGAGAATTAATACGTCCTTTATTTAAAAATCAAATTTTGTAAAACGATTTCGATAATGCAATATTGCAAGATCTACTGTATGATTGAAACGTAATCGGTTTTTTTTTTCATACGAATACTGTTAGAAATAAGACGTAAGAATCCACAAAAGACGTTTCAAAGAATATAGGTCACACTTATTTGTAATCTTTAATTACCGAGTTGTTCTATCCCTGATAAAACATATCGGTGCGTTTTTAACTTCTTTCAAGATGATACCAGTCTGTTAATGAAAATCTAAAAAAACAAAGATCATATCGAGTTTTCAAGGTTTCACGTGAAACTAATAATTATCAGAGACCTTCTGCAGTTTATGAAATTTCATCTTATCTATAATTTTCGTACATTTAAAAATATCGCTCAAAATTTTACTATCAGTAGCACTACTGAAGATTGCAACATTATTTGAGTTGTAAAGTTTTGAAGCTCAGAAGCTTCGTATTTGTAGTGTTCTTCATCTAATTGAATGTATTTTCTCTTCACAATTGAACTATCCTATCTGTCAATGAAAAATAATGATGGATAGTATAATAATAATAGCAGATACAAAAGTTTTGTACTAAATTTTGAACAAAAATAATATACCTTAGAGTTTAACAACCTTAGATATACGAGTAAACAAATGTTATATTAATTTTGTGTTTATAAAAGAAATTCCGCATTAAAAAGATTTAAAATAATTGTGCACATAGAAATACTTAATTTATCACCGATGTATATGATGTTTCGGAACTATGATTTTCTGTAAACTAATTGTATCTTACGCATCATTTTTGGGGTGTAATAATCCTGAGTATACTATAAATTAGAATTTTTTGATATAATCATTTCAGAATGATCGATTTACTAATAAAAGACATCGACATCCTTGAAAAAGCCATTAGTAGTGCTGAGATATTAGGTTGGTGACATTTAAAACTGCGATAAAAAACAGCTAATTAGATTTTCAATCAGCAAATGGACGAGACATGAGCTATATAAACGAAGTTTCAAACTCGGATATACCATTTATTTTTGTAACACCGAACGACCAAAGCTCTACTCCGTTTCCGGGTCAAAATGATTATTTTCAAAGTATTAACGATGCTGTTACTTTTGGCTATAAAAGGTACGTAATTTTTTAAAATAAATTTTATCATAAATGTCCTTCTCATTGAAAAAATCAATTGGTAAAATTGAGCCATTTTTTCCCATTCGTTATGTTGTGAACAACTTTTTCATTTACACATCTTTTAACTTCCCCTCATTTTCATGTTTCATGATCCAACTAAATCAAACGACTAAAAATTTTTGATTCTCCACAGTAAACGGTTTTACGGCTGGCCAGGATGTCAATACGAATACACGGATTCCGTTCCACGTAGCTGTTTTTAAACACACTAGTATAAAATATAGAAAGCCTTTTTTTTCATTTATCTGTCACGGTGCACTTGTCAAAGAAAACTATGCCTTAACAAACGCCTATTGTGTATTTGACAAAAAAGGAGTGTACGGGGTTCGGATTGGCTACGTCATGAGTGACTTTAGTGATGTGAGTGTCGACAATGTTTTTAAAATCAGCAACATCATCGTTCACGAACGTTATACGCCAATCCCAAGGTACTTTTATTTACAATTATTTGTGATGTTATTAAAAATTCATTATTACTATTGTTATTTTTGTTTATTTTTTTTTCTAGTAACTTTTTTTATGCCAAGCATAACTTGGCT